CAGTGTGTGCAAACCTGGTCAAGAACTACAGGAAACGTTTGACCTCTGTAATTGCAAACAAAGGTTTCTGTACCAAATATTAACACTGATTTTCTCAGGTGTTCAAATACTTATGTTCAGCAGTGCAAGACAAATAAATTCTTTAAAAATCATACGATGTGATTTCCTGAAAAATGTTTTTTAATTCTGTCTCTCAGAGTGGGAATGCACCTACAATGTGAATTTCAGACCCCTCCATGATTTCTAAGTGGGAGAACTTGCAAAATCGCAGGGTGTTCAAATACGTCTGTTTTTTTTAGTATAATATGTGTGTGGGTAGAAGTGAATTATTTACTGCTTGCAAACCAATGATGGTAAGATGATGTCATGGGGTAGGACTGGATAAGTCTGACTTCTTCCTACTCCATTCAAGCATGTACTAGGTATATGCAAATTGATATTGGATTATGTGTAAAATTATGTGTGTTGTCATATCAACTGTTTTACATGCTTGAAAGAATAAATCAAATCAAATCAAATCAACATTTGCAGGAGAAATCCATTATGCTGGAGACTACAGATCTTCTTCCAGTATCACACATTTATCACAAAATTATATTCAATAATCAGAATCAATCACACAGCTATGAGTCCACACCACCTACCTGTATGCAAGAATATATGTGGGTATATGTTAACCCTTAGCAATAGTATGAAGGAGGGTCACGGTCTTCTTCTCGGTCGAGGGGATCCTCTTCAATCTCAGACTCACCGGGCTCAGTGAGTGAGATCATTGGCATGGTTTCCCATGGAGAGTGGTATTGAACCATCTCATAGGCAGGAGTCAATGGGTATCTATTATCAATGGCAGTGGTGATACACTTTAGACAAATATGCCTAATGCAGGGGATGCAGCCACATCCACACAGGGTCAGCAAAGTAACTGCTGCCACAAAAGATGTAAACAAAGAAACCACTAAATTTTTCCACTTGCCAAAAATTTTAACAAACCAATCTATGTAATTTTTAATTTCTGAATAGTCAGCCATCAGGAGCAGTGTTATTAGGAATGTATGTACAACACTGTTGCCCAATCATAGTACAAACACCCCTTTTTTCAGCCAGAATGAAGTCTACCAATCTGTTCTGATACGACATAAGAGAAGTGGCTGCCAGTTGCTCCTGAAACCCAACAACTAAATCTCTGGTAAGATTAGTGAGATTAGTAAGATTAGTAAGGTTAGTAAGACTCTGAACATTAAAATGGACATAGGACAGTATACAAATGTGTCAAAAACGGCACATGATGCTGCCGATAAAGTCGTGGGGAACTCAATTAAAGTGCCAGACCAGGATACATAAAACAAAACCGTCTCTTTAATAAGAGTACTAACGCAAAACAGAAAAATGATACAAGACACAGTGTAAACATAAAACGCACTTACAGTTCGGAATAACAGTCCAAGGTCAGAAGCCAGCAAACACATACATCCAAGGAATCCAAAATGCATAGTCCAAAAAGGAGTTCGATAATCATACACAGGGAAGCAGTCCAACTTTAAAGGGACAGGCAATATGCGGTGGTCAAAAACAGAAATCCAGGATCAGATACAAAATGTCAGGCAGGAAATAGTGCTGGAAAGTCAGAGCTGGAGTCTAGAACAATCTGGCAGCGTCCTGGTGGGAGGACGCTGCCTAAATAAAGGTGAAGAACAGGTGCAAACAATAAGGAGCAGGTGAAACAAATGTGAGTAATAATTAAAGTAAAAAGACCGAAAATGTGGTGAAACTGTAGTGGCTAAAAATAAACAAGGTAACAGTATGTACTTCATATAGATATTATTTGCACTAGTTGTGTAAGGGAGAGCTGAGTGATTATGGGTTCATTAAGTTCATGTGAGCTGAACAATGAGCTTATGTAAGTTGGTCAAGATGTTTTTTGTTTTTGAAGTACATCTCAGGGTGTTGTCTCCTGAAACTGGAGACAGGAAGCTAAGTTCAGAAACTGATGTAACAGCCTAAGGAAAGCTGCGGATAAAAGAGTGGGCCTGAAGGGTTAGACAAGAGAGAGAATGCTACCGGGACAGTAAAACGTGTACTTTTTGGGGACCCGGCCGGGGGGAGACTGTGGGTTGACAGAAAGATTGACTCGTGACCAACATCAACTGACTGGACTGACGCTTTTGACAATCTTCTTATTTAATGCTTTATCTATCACATTGCAGGAGGAGAATCTCTGTTCTCTGTTTCCCTAACTACAAGATTATCTGTTTAAATACTACTCTTTTCAGAATATTTGTAATATTGAATGATGCTTTAAATTGGGATGGTTTGTCTGAATTAATTTAGTCGGCATCACACTCTAGCAACGACAAACCTTGCCGTTGTCTCTGCAGATAGGAGCCTAAGTTGGGAGAATTTTACATTGAATCTCCCATCTTGACTGTCCTCAAAGAATTTGTGTGAAGGGAACCAAATAACTTGATTTTATTGACAGGTGGTGGAAGACTGCTGCGATTACTAACACTAACACCATTATTAACACCGATGTAAATAACTTGCTTTAAATGTTTGCAGGATACATTGATGTTGTTTTTACATGTCTGAAGCTTATGTGATTGTGAAACAGCCTATTACGATTGACAAAGAAAAAGGTATAAGATGTCAGACAGTGGATTGGACAGCATGAAATTATGAGTTATAAAAGTGTCTGCATTTGTTTAAATTTTAGGGTGAGGCTGTGGAGCAGAGGTCTGTCCTATTTGTGGATTCTCACTCCAAGTGTTTTCTGTATGTGAATAAGTGTGGACTTTAATGTGTGTTTAAACATGTGAACTTATATTTTTTTAGTGTTGTGTAATCGACTGAGATGTGTGTCTGAAGTTAGGGACAGAGGGATGACAGAGTTGTGTGTCTTGCAATTTCTTGTTGTTCTTGTCAATTTTGTGTGTTTTCAGACTATTTACTGTGTTGCTGAAGTGAGTATAAGACTTTTTTATTTTTGTGAAACAATGAGTAATTCTCCCCCTCTAATACTGTAGTTATTAAAACCTGATGTTTAGGAAGGCTCTAGTCTTTGAAGGTAGTGTAGTGTTTTGTAGTCTATAGACTTGTGTTTTTTGTTTTTTCAAGTTGTCATGGTCTGGAGAGTGAAAGGTCATGTGGGTATTGACTTGTTTGTATGAATAACTATTTCTTAATATTAGTAGCACATGACTGTTGAACATTGGCTATTGCATTTGTAGTTACAACCTACTATTAAAATGGTAGGGTTTTTTGTTGCTGTAGTTGATGCAGGAGGGAATAGTGGCTTGTTGTTTTAATGCGCGTAGTGCTGCCTCTGCTGCCTGTTTTTTCTTTTTTTAAAAGAAGGGTGCAGACGTCCTGTCCCCTTCGCAGAAAAGCACCCCCAAAGCATGATGTTACCACCCCCATGCTTCACAGTAGGGATGGTGTTCTTGGGATGCAACTCATCCTTCTTTTTCCTCCAAACACGACGAGTGAAGTTTAGACCAAAAAGTTCTACTTTGGTCTCATCTGACCACATGACTTTCTCCCATGCCTCCTCTGGATCATCCAGATGGTCTTTGGCAAACTTCAGACGGGCCTGGACGTGTGATGACTTGAGCAGGGGAACCTTCCGTGCAATGCATGATTTGAAACCATGACGGCGTAGTGTTCTACTGACAGTGACCTTTGAAACTGTGGTCCCAGCTCTCTTCATGTCATTGACCAGCTCCTCCCTATCGTTCTGGGCTGATTCCTCACCTTTCTTATCATCAGTGATACCCCACGAGGTGAGATCTTGCATGGCGCCCCAGTCCGAGGGAGACTGACAGTCGTCTTTAGCCTCTTCCATTTTCTAACAATTGCTCCAACAGTTGATCTATTTTCACCAAGCTGCTTGGCAATTGCCCCGTAGCCCTTTCCAGCCTTGTGGAGGTCCACAATTTTGTCTCTGGTGTCTTTTGACAGCTCTTTGGTCTTGCCCATGGTAGTAGTTGGCGTCTGACTGACTGTGGGGTGGACAGGTGTCTTTAAAGAGCTCAGACAGGTGCTACTAATTTAGATTAATGAGTGGAGTAGAGGTGGACTTTTTCAAGGCACAGTAACAGGTCTTTGAGAGCCAGAATTCTTGCTGTTTCTCAGGTGTTCAAATACTTATGTTCAGCAGTGCAAGACAAATAAATTCTTTAAAAATCATACAATGTGATTTCCTGAAATTTTTTTCTTAATTCTGTCTCTCAGAGTGGGAATGCACCTACAATGTGAATTTCAGACCCCTCCATGATATCTAAGTGGGAGAACTTGCAAAATCGCAGGGTGTTCAAATACTTCTGTTCCTCACTGTAGATATTATTTGCACTAGTTGTGTAAGGGAGAGCTGAGCCAGCCGGATCCCCTCCATCTTCAGTGCCTGCTGTCGTCATCCCCCAGCTGATATACGCACAGCCAGGGGGGTGGGCTGGAGGGCCTCAGAGCACAAGAAAGTTTCCTGCAGGCCAAAGAGCAAGGTGCTTCCACTGTGGAAAGTCATGGCATGTGAGAGACAGATGCCCCGAGACAATTTTACCAGATTTTTTAATAGCAAAAAGCAAATAAGTGCTATTGTAATGAACACTTCAAACTGGAACCAGAACCAGCTGGCAGCATGAAACAGTGACTGTACATGTTACTTAGTAACTTCGTGTTTTTTTGTGTTGGGAACACTGTGTCCTGGTCACACTACTGTGAACACTGCAGTATAAATAAAGACTCCTACCGGGACCAGCTAAGGGCACACAGCCACAGTGACTGGAGTTATTTCTGAAAACTCTCAGCTCCCTCCTCCCATAGCTCAAACACACACACACACAATATATACTTTGTTTGCTTCCTGAAAGTCACGGCCAAAGAATTTCACTTTGCACACTTTGTTTTCTGCAAAGAAAACTGTGTCCATGGCAACAGCTCCAGCTCACTGTGTTATGAAATGACTTAGTGGCTGTTTACTAAAATTAGTCAGGACACGGTCAGTCAGCCTGAGCCACTCAGAGCGAGCTAGGGGCTGAACTCAGACCTCCACAGAGAGCAAAAGGGTCTGCAGGGATCTAGATTTAGCTCATTCTTAATGAAGTGTCATACAATCAGAAGCGGAACAGGAAGGAACTAAAGGACTTACTCTCCCTCCCCCCGCACAGCCGCACTGGTAGGTTCCTCTCCATTCAGCTGAGGGTTGGTGTAACCCAGAGTCCCTGAGTAGTTCACATCCTGAGGGGTTACAGCAGAGTAGAAAGGATTAATAACCTCCCCCCACAATGAGCCAGCATGACTGGGAGCGGATCATCACTTACCTTGATGACTGAAGGAGCCGCCATCTCCTTCATGGACCCCGGTTTCCTCAGGTCCCTGTTGCTCTGCCGGTGTCGCTGCCGCATGATGTACTCATAGGTACTGAGTCTGTTCCACACTGTAAACACACAGAGTTTATGGCCGCTCTGCCTCCACCTGCTGGCATCTGCTTTAAACTGCAGCTTTGTCTAATTCGTTTTCCCCTTCAGTGTTAAATTCACATTTTTATTTAATTTTGGAAAAACTAAAGGACAGTAAAGTGTTCCACCATACACCCTGAACTGGGACATTACAGGAGGATCAAACATGAAGACTATTTTACGGCAGACAGTCAGGTGTCAACTCTTACTCAGGTAGATGTGGAAGCAGAGGAGGTGACAGAGCAGCACAGATGACAGCAGACCCAGAGCGATGGTGACAGCAGCCAAAGCAGGAATCACCACTGCTGCCGACCTGAGCGGAGCCACCGGCAGGAAGACAAACCACATGCCTGTCTCATTCCTCACTACAGGGGACACACAGACAGGTGAACTGTGCTGAAAGGAACCCTGGGAGCTTCTAGGTAGCCTTTATTCACAGATGGTCCTCTCAAGCCATAAAGACTCCTCAGAGACGTGCACTAGCTGCAGTAACACAGATCTGAGGTTAGCGCTTACCCAGGAAGTGTTTGTCAGTACGGAGTTTGGACGGGTCCACAAAAAACTCAATGAAGACATAGAGGGCGATAACAAGAACCAGAGAGATGCCCAGCAGAGCCGAGATTACACTGTGGAGGAACAACCTGCAGGATACACAGCACTACTCATTACACACAGTACTATAAAAGTACCATACACAAAAAGAACTCCTGTGTTCTCAGAACTGTTAAATGCAATCGTTCACACTGTAAACAGAACTGACTGAAATACTGTGAAATAGAAAATTATAAACAATGTCAAACATAAAGAATGTGATCATACAACTACAATAGAAGAAACTAAAAACACCAGAAACAATTTCCAGGTTTTAAAGTAACATATGTGTGTGTGTGTAAGCTATTGTACATCTCTCATTCAATGTTTTTGCTCCACTTCCTGATGATGACCAAACTGTGAGCATGTGATGCAGATAAAAAGTGATGGTAATATCAGAAGAAGACACCGCTCTGCCTGATGATATGTTGATTTATAATCAAGGGAAACATTTCACAGTGTGCTGATTCTTTTCTAATAACAGACACCAGAGTTTAGCAGTGAACATCCCAGTCTCCACATTATTCTGAGCTGCAGTGACAGAACAAAAACAGTGACAGTCAGGAACCCTGTCGGGAATCCAGCTTTTATGACGTACTTAGTGTCAAACTCTCTCTGTTAGATGCTCTGCTGTCTCACAGCTGTTGCACACACGATATCTCATCAAGGTGGCTCGCTTTGATGAACATTAGGTTGCGGCTCGTTGGCTGTCTGCCTTACTACAGAAAAGAGGTGTCACTTGTGTTTTAACAACATTTCACTTATGATTTATTGATCCAGGAACTTTGAATATGTGAATACTCTTTCC